AACAAATAATATTTGTTAAGTTATATTAAGTTTATTCATGTTAATTATATCTGTTTTCTATGTTATGCATCACAAATTACATTGAACAAAGCAAATTAAACAATTTTGTATTTTGTCTGTATTTTACGGTTTTTTTTGTTACAGACTGTACGTATATTATTCACTAGCGCTAGCGCTAGGTTTTAGTTATTCCGAGAAGTACGAATTAGAGAACCCTTTTAGAAATTACCTCGTTACGTAGCGGTAATGATTTCGACACAACTTCACGATTATTATCTCGTAGTTGTGCATCTTTATGAATTCGCTAGATCGTTAAACTTTAGAAAATTGATGGTGATCTCTCTACTATTATCTTTCTAATTTACTTTTATATGTACTGTACGTATACGTATTAAACTCGAGATGATGGCTTATCTCCGAAAATAAGCTACCTTTTTTTACACAATTTTAGACAAGAGGTAGCTTATTTTTGGGGTTAATTTTATTAAACTTATCGTTATATATGTTTTAAGGCTTGAAAAATGGGGGTAGCTTATTTCGGAGATATACGGTATAAGAATTTCACATGAAAAATGCATTGATCAGCAAATAACGATAAGCCATATGAAAATTTCTGATCATCTATGAATAGCCCGAATATCAACCCACACGTTTTATACGACACAAGCCTCTCCCTAAACTTCGCATGTGCCAAGTCCTCAGCTTGTGCAATTTAATTGTAATGTCGCATCTGGCCGACGTTAAAAGTGAGGATAATGATGACATTAAAATGTGAACAAATCAAAAAGCAGTTTTCTTACGGCACTTATCCACAGATTGCGGATCCGTTGTCGAATGCGTGCTTGAGCAAAAACCGCACGCTAATATCCAAATGATCACCAGAAGCAGTTCTTGAAGTCTATTGGAATGTCTCAGCACAAAAAATTACCGTATCGGCCCAGCACAACGGGACTGGATAAAGTCTCAACCTGCCAAAGACAAGTGCAGGTTTTTTTTGCAGATGTGAGGCTGGTATTGACACGAACGAACAAGAAAATACCAAACTTCAGAAGGCAGCTCTATGGGGTGAGTGTAAGTTTGTGAGAGATGTAATGATACTTGACGAAACCTTTCGCAATGGCCACTTTGCCAAAATTGTCATTAGTCAGACGATTCGTCATTCGCCACTCACATTTCCAAACTAAACTATAAAAGCAATGGTTTATCAATTAATAGTTTATTTGCATGATTTCTACCAGAGGTATATACGTAGATTTAAAATTATACACTTTTCTCGTCCAATCAGTAATTACCCGACCAACTCACCTCTCAAGTTTTCATAATTCAGCATAATTTTGATCGTCCATGGCCTTCGGCCAATCAAATACATGTACTAGACTTCTAATAACGTAACATTCTTTTAAAATTTTACATGTGATTTAAGCTATTATTTTTATTGTTCATGGATTTCATCCAACGAATGACGTGCCTTTCGTCAGGCATCTGTAGTCCGTCACTTGGACCCAGCTCCTGCAAACATCACTGACGAAGCCATCGATCTGGTCCCGGTCGTTAGAGACAAAGTCATCAGGCGTAATACCCAATGACGGAGAGGCTCGCTACATATCCTCTCGTTCCAATAAAAAGTACTTCGTCATACACCCACCATTTGCGCACAGAACTTTCCAACTCTCTGGGATTGTTCTTACGTTTCTTATCTTCAATATACGCCTACTCACGTAGTTATAAACCCTGCAAGTCGAACGAAAATGAGCGCGCGCCATGTGATCTCTCCATTTCGAAAAGGAAACATAACAACAAATAGCCCTTTTCACACAAGGTCACATCCGACTATAAACTCACCCACGCTCGCCAAATGAATGAACGTTTGCTTGGATCTACGATATGCAAAGATAAGTCCGCGAAACCCAAGTGGATGGCGAATACCTTTACATGGTATTCTCCCACGAAAGAAGTAGGCAAGATTTGTGAATATATATTGGATGCATCGTTCGATTTTGTGCCTATATGGTATGGACAGCTTGATATCACAAAAAGCACCATCAATTTCTGAGCGCAAGCTAAAGACTCGAAAAGGCAGTCTTTCGGATACGACAAGATATTATACTGAATTAAGGCGATCATATTCTTTACTCACGATTTTGATACTTTGTCCCTTGAGGTATCTGACACGGTAAATCATCGTAAGACGGAAAAATCACAGTCAAAAAGATGCTAGGTTGGGTGCACTATTGATTTCGTCAACGTCTAATCGCCAAGGCCTAGAGATTAGGAGTCCGAGTTATTATTCCAAAATGACGTAACAATATCCAAAATCAGAGGGTCCGAAGTGTAGGACTGTGGTGCTCTCCGCGCATTGCTTGATGGAACCTTGGTTTTCTCCTGAGAATCATGCAGGAAATAATAGCTTACTTAGTAACGCCTATTATGACGTGTTACAATCCATCCGTTACATAGTTTCAAGTGCTAATTTCTAAATGAAAATTTAAGTCATTAAGTTGCGATTATAAATAATTATATTAAATACTTCGAGTAAAAAATAACATACAGTCGTACCCCCTAAATATGGTATATAAACGAGCATTTAATTTCAATTAATAAAATAAGCTACTGATCCTGAAATATTTCTTTCTTTGAATTGGACTTTCTATTAACTCTAGAGAATTGAAATAAACAATGTCATAAATGCAGCAACAAATGGAGATTTCCATATAATCAATTAGAAAAAAAGAAAATTGCATTGATATTTGTGTGAATATATTGTCCAAAAGGGTTGCTTATGGATTACTCCGAATTCACTGAATAAATACTTGAATATTTTACATTTTCCTTTCAATGGTTTACTTGCATAATTAAAAAATTGTATTATATGCATTCCAAAGTTATTGAGCAGAATTAACGATATGCTAGCTATTCAAAAAGAATGTTAAATTTTTACCTGTGCAAGCAGCATAAGGTGGGCGGAAGTCGAAAATTCAAGGGCAAACCAATACGTGGAACTATTTTTTGAGACATCTTTTCGATTCATGATAAGACTAAAAAAGCTAAAGATATTTTTAAAGATATTTTTAAAAAAAAATATTACATTTGTAATTTAGAATTCAGGCACTTTGTTTTTATCTGCGTAGTTATCAAATATCGATATTAATGTTAACGTTTTTTGTCCAGTTTCTTGTGCAATATAAATTAACAAAAGTACATGTATCATAATTTCTAAATTTAGAGTGGCTGAGTCGCAAGTTTAAAATTTAGAGTGGCCGAAATTCTCAATCTGTTATATCACTATTTATCATAGGTCATATTAACGTTAACGTCATAACTACGGATTAAGTTCCCTAATTAAGAAGTTACAGTCACGTAGTATTTTTTGAGTTTTGCCGAAACCGAAACAAAGAAATTTCTTGATAATCGCTGATCCCACGCACTGCATATTGAAATTTCCGGTGTGATTGGTTGCCGGCAAGGACTTTCATTATTCTTCAACATGTCCTAATTAAAAATTGCATCAATATTGATTTTTGTTTGGAAAGTCTATTAAACATTAAGTATTTATTAGTATGTTAATAGTAAGAGAAAATAAAGTTATTACATCATTACCAGGTTTTTGTGCATACATATCAATAATACATGTATTGATTTTCACGAAACCTTTCGCCACTTTGGAAACATAAGTGACGAATGACGAATCGTCTGACGAATGAAAATTTTGGCAAACTAAACCATAAAAACAATAGACCAAGTCAAACTTTATCAATTTGTCGGTTTATTTTTTGCATAATTTTTACCAGAGGAATATGTACACTTTTCTCAAGTTTCATAATGCTAGCCAAAATTTTGAATCAAACACATGTTCTATATTTCTAATGAGTACATGTGATTAAGCTATTATTTTGATTGGTCAGAATGTTTCGTCACAGGTTTCGTCACTCCTCAGACGAATGACGTGGCGAAATGTTTCGTCAGGTATCATTAATCCCCACTTGATTTTCGTGAAGGGTTACATGTTCCTTCTCGTAAACCAAGATGAATATCCAATCCACCGTCCAAGTCGCTGGTTCCATTGAGCTTGCTACAACGCCTTTCCTATTGGGCTTTTAATGTTTGTTCACTAGATCTCATTTCCACCCAAACTCCGCCCGCATTCGACCACAAGTCCGCAAGAAAACTACTGTTCGCACTTTTGATGTCATTATTATTATCCCTCTCTACCCATATTTTTTAAATAGTCGATATTGACTAGAATTACTCATATTAATGACTCAGCTTCCAATTGCGGGAAAAAAAGATCGCCATGAAAGTATTAGCTTCTTGCTATTCACGAGAAATAATTATCATTTGCATCAAATAGCACTAAAATTTATTAATAAATATAATAAGCAGCTAAAGAAAAAACAAAAGAATAAAACGAAAAAAAGGCAGAACTACGAATAAAACAAATGAAGCACTTTACAAGACCGTAAAAACAAAATCTAATGAACAGGAAGAGGAACATCTTTCCTCAATTACAACGATAAATAATTCCAACAGAAGAACGAGCCAAACGAAAAAAAAAAAACAGGCAGGAATACGAATAAAATAAACGAACAGAAGTTGAACGAAATTCGCATAAATCGAAATATTATTTACGAGGGGATGATCGAAATTAATTAATTTAGAATAGTTGAGGGAAATAATAAGCTGAATGAAATACGTATATATATAACTTAAAACGGAAAAAAGAATAATTTTCAAAAACCAATTGTTATGTGTATTCTTATTTGACTAATGGTTTCGGTAAAATAATACATTCGTCATGTCATGTCATATGGTTATTTAAATCATTCATATCATCGAGTACATAATAGTTTGCAATTATTTTTAAGATATCGATATCGATATCATTATTGGATTCCTCAGTGTTGATCAATAAAGCAGCATCGTCGTTGATCGTAGGAGGTAGAATTGAGGAATTAACATTGATCATAGAAGGAAGAGTATCGATGTTTGTCGAAACGATGTCAGCGCGAATTGATGTTGTATCATCCATAACTTTATTTGTTAACGAGGGTGACAATGAACTGACTGGATATTTTTTTTGTTCTCGAAAAACGAATTTTTTGCAGTTTGAATTTTTCGCATTTTTCGGCTTATACTTATAATTAGGATATATGCGCTTGTGATTCTCACATGCTATTTTCTCCAATATTTTGAAGAAATGCTTGACCTCACTAGACAATTGTCTCCACTTCAAGCTACATTCTTGAGCCGTGTGTTTGACTTCTTGTTTGACGTCAGGGCTACGACGACGACGTAAAGTTGCTTCATAATCTTTTCGAAAAATAATCCAACTGTTCTGTGGTCGTGGTGGATTCTCAAAATTCAGGTGTTTTTTTACAGCTGATGTTGTTAATTCATCAATCGAAAGAGTTAATTGGTAGGGACATTGTCGTAAAATCTGCATTTCAATCTTAGTTAAATATGCGTATTTAGTGCTGGAATTAGCCATTTTATTAAGAAAAGATTGAATTTATTTTTTCAAAAACTTAAAAGACATTGATTTTAGATAGATGTCAGATACTAACAGGTTCTTCAATGAATGATGGTGATTGGAATTATCTTTCTACAACTACGTATTTTATAAATGTATAGTCCGATACTAACGCTAACCTGTTCTCCAATGAATGAAGGAGATTCTTTAATATGTAACGTGAATAAAACAAATAATTTCCAGATACGCATGTGCACTGTTTATTAATTTCGGCATTAACTTTTTAGTTCTAGCGGTAGCCTGACCTCAAGTCATAATACGTCTCATGTAACGATAGATCTCTTGGCACCTACTGATATACATGTATCACACCGACGATAAATCAAAAATTCTTCAAAATGTCATCGTCAGCATGTAAAAGAATCGAATGGTTGAGTTAGCGATCCTAGAAAAACGGATAAAGTTTACGACTTTGAAAATTTACAAATAAAGAAATAGTTGGTAGAGGAGCGTTTGGCGAAGTGTCAAAAGAAGACGTGTTAAATAGCAATTTAATGGTTCGCTAAAAAGATTCTGGATAACAAACGAAAAATCCAAGAAACAAATAAATAAGAAATTCATTAAAAAGGTATTTTCATTATTTAAAATTTCTTAGTAAACCTAAACATTATGAAAATATTGTTCAATGGAATTACAAAAAGTAAAAAGAAATCGTTGAGCAAGAACGTATAAAGTTTATGAAATAGATCCAACTTCGAATGGATACATACTTGTTTTGGAGTATGCTGACGATGGCACGCTAAGAGATTTCTTAGCAAAAAATCGAAAACTTACCAGAGATAAAAAATTAAAAATTAGCAACAACACAATTAGCTGAAGATACATGATTCCGGAATAATTCATGCAATACTAACGTACTAAAAGAAAATCAACATTTCGGATTTAGGATATTTAATTCGAAAAGCTATTTTGGAGTAATAAGCTATGTTGATCCAGCGGTTTACTTAACATTGCCGAAAAATCGGATATCTTCAGCCTTGGGATTCTTTTTTTGGTTATTTCTAGTGGTCGCATTCCAGTCAGCCAATTCGGGTATGTCTTTAATAATCCAACAGATGAAAAAGAAATTACAATTTTCGGGATGCCTTGAACTATATAAACAATGTTGTGATAATACTCCAGAAATCGAGTGGCTGTCATTGGAAAAACATGATAATTCATCAGAATTATCCGTAGATTCATTATAAATAGATTTATCAGATACAATTCACACTTATCAAAGTAGTTTGATTGAGTATAAAGAAAATGTAGAAGACATGTTATTACAACTACAATTAAATCCTGAAGTTTCAACTACTGGAAAGACTTTGGAACTAAGAATAAACGAATTAACAAATATTTTATATACTATGCTCAACTCTGGTGAAACACAGAAAAAACAGCCCGGCAACTGCATATACACATAACTACACATAATACGTAGCGACATTGTAGAATTAAACCTTGTTTGCACAATAATCAGGATCAAAATAACTTGAGATTTTTATTATTTACATGGGATAAATGTAGTTAAAAATCGTAAATTAGCTTTTCAAAATTTCAAATATCCGCAATTCAAAATGATTTATTGACATAAATTTTACTTGCAACTTGCTTTCTATATGGAATTGGTACACGAAATATGAGAAAAAGGCATTTGAGTGGTATTTGAAATCAACAGAGAATGAAGATGCAAGAGGACAATGCAAGATTGGTATATGTTATCAAAATGGAATCGGAACATAAAAAAATAAGAAGAAAGCATTCGGGTGATATTTAAAATCAACAGAAGGTGCTATGATGGAGGAATCGGGACACAAAAGGATGAGAAAAAAGCATTCCAATGGTACTTGAAATCGGCAGAGAGAAGAAATGCGGACGTAATCTTGGTTTTTGTTATCAGAATGGAATCGGAACACAAAAAAATGATACAAAAGCATTCGAATGGTATTTAAAATCAGCAGAAGGTGGGGACGCAGAATTACAATATAATATGAAGTTAAATTTCCATTATCCGCAAAATTATTTTATTGTAAAATAAATCATTATCTTTTATCATCTTATTCTCTTTCTTTTTGTAAGCTGTCAACAATCATGATTTTATTTATTCGTACTAAAAAAACGAACTAACTTAAAACTGGTCTAGTGATCTTCGCTATAGTCTCAATACAAAGGATACCCATTTTGTAAATTTTAAGCAGAAATGTCACTTTAATAACGATAACGATCATTTCTGAAGTAAAATTTTGTAACGACTATGACGTGAATTATGCGTTATATAAAAATTTGGTATATAAACTTAACGTTAACATTCAATGATTTTTATACAATATCGATATTAAAGAAAGATCGTCATATTTGATAAGAAATAAACTACCCGTCATGCCTCTTGCTATATAGTCTCAGCTATTATGAAACATCACCTTCATACCTCTAAAGTCACCCTTTTCTAGTCCCGAGGGTGTAGCCAGAAACTAATAATACTAGTCTATTCTACATAAAGAAAAGCTTAAATGATCAGTTTAGCCAAAGATTTCAATACCTGAACTATTGCATGGTTATCAATTAACAATATAGGTACATGTACGTAATTGTATTCAATTCGATTCTAAACCTTTTTAATCAAACAAACATATAGTACATGCGTATATTTTCTATTCTATATGCAATTAAAATATAGTAATAAATAAACAACACAAAATTAATGAAAATGCGACATAATCGTTCTAAAGAAGGTTCAGCGACACTACATTGTGTTTCGTACGATTCAATTTGTACACAATAATATTGAGCTTAGTTAAGGGTAAATTCAAGTCAAAAACATCTTGCACAACTTTTTCTTTCTCGTCGTCGAAGAATACTACAAACCATGAATAACAACGACGTCAAAAAAACCATAATACCCGAGCAAATTTTGAAAATTTTTATTGATTCTTGTATCCAAGATGAACCACAAAATCGCATAACAGACAAAATCATTACTTTGATTTCTACGAATTATACAAATGACGAAAAACCAACAAAGTTATTTCAGCTAGTCGCTCAAAAATGCAACGAAAATCATTCAAAATATTTCGTATTACTGGGTTTCTTTCACGCATACGGGTTCGGGGCAGTATGTAATGAAGCGGAAGCATTTAAATGGTATCTTAAAGCAGCTGAACATGGAGACCCAATTGGTCAATTACGAGTCGCCGCTTATTTCGAATCGGGGATAGGGAAAAATATATCGAAGAGTAGATACTGGTTCGAGAAAGCTGCGAGCACTGGACTCGCGATTGCTCAATATCGCCTGGCCAGAAACTTGAGAATATCGACCGAAATCGATAACGATGATATTTCAAATTCGATATTTTGGTTGGAGAAATCGGCGACAGCTGGATTCGATAAAGGAATTCATGTGTTAGCCTGGATATATGGACGGGGAAAAGGCGTACCAAAAGATTTAAAAAAGTCATTGCATTGGTATCGAAAATTGGAGGATTCGAAATCGGGAAAAGCGACGAAGAGCTTGGTGATGTATTATTTGAATGGGCTTGGTACGGCGAAAGATAAACATGAAGCTATAAAGTATCTGTATCGAGCATTGAAAAGTGGAGTTTATTGTAATCAAGTTTTAAATGAATTTAATAATTATCGATAATACATGTAGCTTGCATGCATGTTTAGTTTTACGTGTCGTAAATTAGTTTGGTATTAATAAATTTAAACATGACATAACATATATGATAGAATTAGTTGATTTACTACGTATATACATTAAATATCGATATTTTAGTCTGTTGTTAATCTTATATACGTAATATGCAAATGCATATGTACATGTACGTAATTGAATACCGATACGTAATGTCCGAGCGAGATAAAGATCATACCGAAGGATTGACATGGACCAATCTAATTTCATGCATAACCTAACCAGAATTTGTAATGACACCACGAAATGAAGAAACTAGATACGTAATTATCGTCATTAATGTAGGATTCTGGTAAACTGGTCATTCCTATGTAATGGTAATGTTATCATTATGCAGTCATACTTTTCCACATTACGTATAGGCACTACGTATTTCTTCACTTTGAACGTTTAGAAAAACACAAAAAAATGGATATGCCTTTCTTAAAAAAAAAATACAGAATCTACATCGATAACTTCTGCAGTCGGTAATTCAATAGATAACACTAATCATGTGGTTCTACTAATTACTGAAAATAATACCTCTAAAGAACAAACAAGAGATGATGACTCTGACAACAAATATTCTCATCACCGGCATAAATATCACAAGAATTCAACAGCGCTCTCCCGCTTCTAAAGAACAAGATCCTGATTCCTGATTCAGATTCCTTTCACAAAAAACAAGAAGATTCAGATTATTCTTTTGCTTCAAAAAACATGAAAATTCAGTTTTTCTCGGACAAGTTTATACGTACATGTATATTGTTACCATTATTAACAAAAATTTCGCAATTTATAACTTTTATGATATCATAAATTATGGTGTATCATAATTTCGTCCAAATTTAATATTTATTTGACATTACCGTTACCGTTACCGTTACTATTACAATCACATCACATTTAACGTTAATACAAAATTTGTGAATATCACTTCCTTTTTAATTAATAATAATTAAGATAATCATCAACGAATTACATTTTTGCATACTAATACTTTAACATTTATTTTCACTTTTCTACCCACCCTTTATTTTCTTGAATATTTTTCTTTCTCAAATTAATCTTTTTGCTATTGGTACATCTATATTTATCCCCAACAAGAATCTTCTTAATTTGAATTTCATTATCTTAAATCAATTATATATTATTTTTCATCTTATTTTTATATTCATTACTATTTCTATCTTTATTTTGTATTTTCTTATGATTCATCTTGTGTTATTCAACTTTTCTTTAGAGTCTTGTTATTATTTTCTTTATTGATATTTTCAATAAGTTCAATTATTATTTTATTTTATTAGGTATTTACAATAAGTCCTATTATTTTTTTAAGAATTATTTTACTTTTATTTTATTTTATTCTTTTTACCAATTTCTCTTTTTGTCTCTATTTTTATCTTTAATATTTAATTTGTATACAAGCTATTATATGAGAACTTTAGAATCTTTAATGAATTCTATTAATTATAAATCATTTAGTCTTTGTTTTTTCATTGTTATATTACTTTGTTAATATATTAATTCTAATAATTCTTGAATTAACAAGAATAATATTAACAAATTTGACTTTAAAAATTTTAAAATTACTATAAATACACTAATTAATCTGTCAGTAATAAAAAAATGTAGTCCAATTATCCTCAATATTTATCAAAATAATTAACAATAAAAGTATAAATTAAAATAATAATATATCTTTATATATAAAAGGAACACAAAAAGATAAAAAAATATTTGTATAATATATAATGCTAATAATTTAGAACAATTTCTCTTAATTATTATTATAAAGATGAAATAGAGATATAAAAAGTATTTGAGTAATATATAAAATTAGTAAAAAATAAAAATATAGAGAATATAGAAATACTCTCAGTTATTGCTATCAAAATAAAATAAAATACAAAAGATATAGAAAAGCATTTGAGTAATATATATATTTGAAATCAGCAAAGAATAAAAAATTTTATGTAATTTTATACTTGTAAATTATTTAAATAATCGGAATAGAAATATTAAAATATGAGTTAGTCTGATCTGATTTCAAAATTTAAGTCTTAATCAAATTTAGTTTAAAGTTAGTTTTTTGAGTAGTTATATAATATTTATATGCATGTATAATATTATAATATAAAAATATTATTCATTTATATTACTATTAAATTTTTATCTATTATTATTCTAATATTAAATTTTTATCTAATATTAAATTTTTTTATTATTATTCTAATATTTATTGTTATTCTAACATTAAATTTTTATCTATTATTATTCATATATTAAATTTTTATCTATTCTAAATTCTCACTCCAACTAATTCTTTAAATATAATAAAGCTCTTGTTATTTGTTCAAGAAAACAGTTTCTCATAAGATTAATATTTGCTTTTCTATAGAAAAAGCATGTTTATAACGAATACTTGTAGCTTGTAATGCAAAATAATTTGCTATCATACAAGTCACAGTTATAAAATGGAGAGCATTGATTTTTCATCACAATAATAGATTGGTCTTTGATTCTGGAGGTAAAAATAGATAAATTCAATTTCTGAAAAATTTTTAATAAATCATTATCTTTAGGTACAGTCATTATCTTCTTATTTATATTATATATTAAATAAGAAATTTTTAAATGAATAATGGCCAACTGGCAATCCACTTCATTGAAGATTTCAAATTTTGTTGATGGATCAAGAGGGCAAGAATAGCAAAAGATAAGTCTAGTAATTAATTAACTCGTATTTCATTTTTGAGCTGCTTTACAATATAAATTAATATCTAGAATATAATAATTAAGATATATTAAAAGATCCATAAGAAGGTACCAAAGCATTTGACAAAATTAATATTTTCTTATAAAAAAAATGGCTTGAGAAATTGTTAAATCTCCAATCGACCCAAAATCTGATCTGAACTCGACCTGAAAATCCCAGTTCAGGTTGACCTCAAACCTAATCCGAAATATTTTGGGTCAGCCTAAAAATCTTTATTTCTCGTTCAATATTAATTGAAATTAAACGAAATTTTGTGGATATATACACAATTACATTCCAAACAACTCTACTTAAGATACAAAATACAAATGTTTTAGTAAAAATAAAAGTTATTAACGAAAAATATTTTACGATTTTCGGGTCGAACCCGACCCGAACCCGACCCGACTCGAAATTCTCAGTTCGGGTTGACCTCAAACCCGACCCGAACAGAGCTTTATAACTAATGATAAATTTTATAGTGGATCTTTGCTAAAGATCTTTAAAGATATGTGAATGTTTTCTTTCAAAATGATGTGTTATTATTGATAATGATGTGCTAGCACTCCATTTATTTTTACAAATTTTGCAAATACGAGAATCATCTTTAAGTGCATCAAGATAATCATAAACAGGCACAAGTTTTTAATTCCTTTATTTTTTGAGTTGTATAATTAATGATTACATTGTTTGGATAATTATCACTTTCAAAAGAACTTTGGGCATCTTCAAATGAGATCTCAGTGAAATTATAAGAAGTTATAGAAGATATGAGAGCTGACGAGCTAGAATGAGACATTGAAGAATAGGTGATGAATGATTTGAAAATAAGAAGAATAGGTAACAAATTATTTGAAAAATAAGATAAGTAGCTTTTATAGTTATTTGAAAATATCAAACATAAATTTTTACATTAATCCTTTTTTATCTTGGCTATATTTGTCCTCATTAACTGTTAAAGCTCTTAAATCGAAAATGTTGCTAATAACGCACGGTGATTTATCGTAGGTCTGTGTACGGTAACTCAAAAAAAATATACGTATGATGAACGAGAATTAAGATATGATCAAAAAGTAACAAACATGACATTATTGCGTTCTTTGTTATACATAAAATTTAGAAATATGTATGAAAAAATAATAGTAAAATTTAACACAAAGCAGTTGATAACAATGGAAACCGCTTTTGATCGATTGTTGTCTTTAACTCGCAATATTGATTCCATGATTACCTAAAAAGATATATTATTATTATTATTGCTGTCAATTTAATTTAAGTATAAAGTATAGTATCTTTTGGTGAAAAAAAAATGTTGTCTTTATTTATCATGAATTTGTATGTTTTCTCAATTTGTATTAAAAAAGAAGTGGTATTCATAGAACTTCCTTTGTGAGTCAATCAATTTTTGTTAAGCACCCACTGTTCTATTACTATGCATGAAAATAACATTCCAGTTTTATTAGATTACATGTATTAACGAAGTCTATCACGTCTTAAAATAATATTCAAAATTGGGATAAAATTTTTTGGCAAATAACTTTGTATTCAATAAACCAAATTGGATGGTTTCGATATCATTAGGTTCATTTATAGTCAATTCTCATTAAACTAATTGTTTTCTTCAATTTTATGAGAATTAACTATATGTAATGTCAATTTATATTATATTTTAAAGGTAAATAGTCAACTCTTGTTAAATCAAAGAAAAATATGATCAGTTTCAGATGAACTTAATGTTATCAAAATCATCTAATTTGGTCTATAAGATGTGAAAATATTCGCCAAAAAATTGGTTTTCTTCAAAAATTTTATTCTGATTTTGAACACTATGTCTGAAAAATGATATCTCTGTATTTATATTTGCATTTTTGTAAAATGAATTTTTATCAAATATTTGTATTTTATAAAATGTATAAACTTTTTTTTACTAAGAAGGAAATACAACATTTAATTCATAAATATGTTCAGAAAGAAACTATTTATCATATTCACAGCAAGAAGATTATATATTTTATAAGATAGAAATATTTGATAACTTTAGATGTTATGCAAGTCTTGAAATCACTTGAAATTTTATAGAATTATATCATTGGTTTTGCTTGTTTTAGATGACAGGTAAAGTAGCTTGACCAAAATTAAAGTGAAAACAAATTATAATTCTCTTTAGTAAATTTTTGAGAAACAATAATCTTAACAAAGATAATATTAT